TCTATCATCTATTATCTATCTATCTATCTATCTATCTATCTATCTATCTATCTATCTATCTATCTATCTATCTCAAGTCCTTTGGCCACCTAATGAGAAGGAAGAAGGACTCCCTGGAGAAGAGCCTCATGCTGGGAACAATGGAGGGCAAAAGAAGAAGAAGGGGACGGCAGAGAAGGAGGGGGCTGGATGGAGTCATCCAAGCACTTGGTGTGAGCTTCAATGGACTCCAGAGGATGGGAGAGGACAGGAAGGCCTGGAGGAACATTGTCCATGGGGTCGCGATGAGTCGGACACGACTTCGTGACAAACAACAGCTGGAAAAAAAGATTTTTTAAAAAACCCGTCGTCTTATCTCTATTGAAGTTGCATCAATGGTTGCGTCACTTCAGGCTACAACAGGGCTTAGGTTAGCCCAGGGACGCAATATCCTGTGTCGTTCCGAAGAATCCCAGGCATTGGAGCCGAGTTGTGCAACCTTATGGACTAGAAGATTGGAGGGGAGGAGTCGATTTTGCCAGAGAAAGCAGGAGGGGACTGCAAAGTTACATGTTGAGGTGTTTATTTTTTTTTTGAGGGGGGGGGTGCCAGGCCTCCCCCTCCAGATGTAGTTGACCCACCCCTTGCCCCAACTCCCCAAGAGTAAAAAACCCCTCCCGTGAAGGATGCTGGGAACTGTAGTTCAGCAACTTCGTGAGCGCTAAAACGACTTGAACAGAATTGGAAAAGGGACCTTAGAGGTCTTCTAGTCCAACCCGCGGCTCCAGACAGGGCACCCAACACCAGTTCAGACAAACGGGTGTCCTTTTGGGTACTCCTCCCTTTACTCTGGAATCGGGACCCCGGTTCGAATCCTCGAGAACAAGCGCCGCTGCAAAGGCTCTTGCTCCGGAGTAAGCGCTTTAATTCCGGAGTAAAGGCTGCTGGAGATCGACTCCGGATTCCACCTAACTCCGAATTGGCTCTTTGCGCCTTTAAGGCCCCTCCCGATTCTTCCCCTTGAGTTTCTCTTCTCTCTCTCTTTTTCTTGCTTTTTTTTTTCTTTTTCCTTTTCCTTCCCCCGGGGGAGGCGTCGCCGCCTCCCCTCGGAGGAGCGCTGACATCAGCCTTAAAAACCAGCGCCGGGCGTGGGAGGAGAGAGTAAGGCGCGGCTTTTGCTTAATCCGGCGGCGCTCGCAGCCACTTTCCTGCGGAGGAAGGTAAGTCGGGGGGAAACAGGGGAGGAAAGGGGACCCCCAGGTGATCTTGGGGTGGGGGGATCCTCTGGAAAACACCCACGCCCGTGGGGGTTTTTCCCCTCTCTCTTCCACGTGGAGCGGTGGGGAGAAATCTCCTTTTCGCACGTGGCTTCTTTGCCAAAGCTCCGCGTCTGGGCTGTGGCCGCGTGGATGACCTCCAGGGTTCCCACGCCCTTCTCCGCCTCGCTCCATGGCCCGTCCTTTCTCCTCTTCTCCCACCCTTTCTCTTTCTTTCTCCCTTTCCCTTTCTCTTCCCTTTCTGTTTGTTTTTTTGGGTTTTTTGGAGCGTTGCCTCTCCGCTGGGACTGAAAGTCCCATGTGGCTGCTAAACAAGGATGATGAGAATTGTAGTCCTGAGCGTTTGGCGGGTCTCCCTCTCTTTAACGCCTTTTGCCAAGATCTTCCGCCACCCAAGTTGGCAAAGAAAAGCGGTTTTAGAAGTTAGCGAAGAGCTGGGCTGCGGTTCTCCTGACAGCCACTAGGTGGCCGCGGAAAGGTGCGGTTTTGGCGCCATCTGGTGGCTGTCTGGAGGTTTGCAGGCTTTCTTTGGTCACTGTTCCAGGGACAAGAGTTGATTTGCTGCCTTTTGACACACACACACACACACACCCCACAAACTGCCTTTGAACGGCACCCCATTGTTATGGCTGATTTAACATCTAGCGCAACTCCAAGCCAATGTTGGTTTGTGCAGTTAAAGGGTTGCCAAAAAAGCTATGATTGAGTGAAAACCTAGCTTTTCTTCTGAATTGGCTATCCGGCTTTGTCGATGGTGGTCAGCTGTCTTTTCAAGAGTCAGATAACTTTATATCTGACCTTGCTTTGTGGAGGCGGTGATCTCTGAGCTTCCCCACCCAGATGTGAATTACTCCCAGCTTCTCCCCCCCCACCCGGTGGCCTTGTGGATGGCCAACATCTGTATAGCCACCATCAGCCTAAATTGGCTAGCACGCCCCTTGAAAGGTCCTCAAGAGTATAATTATTTTTTTTTAAAAAAAGGAATAATGCTTCTATTGATGCATCTTCTCTATTTTCTGGTCACAGACCAGATTTTGTTTTAATTAAGTTTTTTTTTATTTAAAAAAATATATTTTGCAAAAATATCAATGCGTGAACCGCGTGGCACTTGGGCATCATATGTTCTAACACGAATAAAACTAACTGCATTAGTCTTAGTTATTACTTTCAACCAACTTAGATATTTCTAATGCTAATGCATGTTTATATAAAGTTGCAATCTGTCACTATTCGATTATTCCACGTTTTCTATTATTATTATCATCATCATCATTATTATTCGCAATAACAGAATTGTATCACAGCGGCCAGTTGTTTCTCCAGATTTGGCATTGATTAACTGGCTGCTGTGATACAATTCTGTTGTTGCTAATAATGATAATGATAATGATGATGATGATAATAATAGAAAACATGGAATAATCAAATAGTGACAGATTGCAACTTTATATAAACATGTATTATTATTATTATTATCCTCCTCCTCCTCCTCCTCCTCCTCATTATTATCATTATCCCTTCGGATCCCTTCTGGCCGGCTGGGGGAATTCTGGGAGTTGAAGTCCACAGGTCTTCCAAGTTGGAGGCTATTGTTTGTACAGCAAAATAGTTTGCAAAAGCCACAGAGACCGAAAAGGGGATTTAGCAATCTGAAGTTAGGAACAGCACCGCAAACCAGGAAACGTGGAGAAAAGGAGAACGTGGTTTTCTGCCTGGTGCTTGAGAACGGAGTCAATTTCTGGTTATTTATGGTCCCAAAACCAGCTGGCCCATTCTTCTGGAAAGTAAGCCAATTTGGAGGCTTTCCCAGGGAAGTTTTTCCTCCCTCCCCCCCTGGTTGCATTCTGGCTCTTTCCACCAAGATTCGTCCTCGGTTGATCTCTGGCGGAATCTGGAATGCAAGGATGACAGAAAGCTGATTTCTGCTTAAACTTGCCCTGGGAGGGGGGGGGAGAGGCTGTGGGGAGGGGGGGGGGAGATGCTGACCCAGCCGATTCCCACCCTAGCTTTGTCTCTGCGGCTCCGGGAAACAAGGTGGTTGAAAAAGGAGGCTGGGATTGTGTCACCCGCCGGTGCGTCATTCATTGGGAGGGCAACTCCCTCCTAGCTGGCTGCTTGGAGGAGGGTGGAGCCCGCCCTGCAAGGTTCTCGTTGCACCTTGGAAGCTGGGATGGTGGAAGTGTACCGTTGTATTGTTCTTCCCCACCCCCAATAATTTATTTTAAGTCAGACAGTTAAAATACGAGCTACAAATACAAACAAAAAGGAAAGTTTGCAAACACTTTAAAAGTGCATTATAAAAGACAAGAGACAAAACACACACACATATATATTGCCCCCCCCCCAGTTGAACAGTGATAAATATATTGCAGTAATAATAATTCCCCCTCCTTGTTGCAAAACAGGCCCACTTTTTATAAACTTCTAACCAATTTATTTATTTTTTTGAACTAAAGTTTTTTTTATTTTTCCCTTTCAAATTCATTCACAACTATACATTCTTGTAATTGCTACTTAACATTTGTCTATTCNCTATTCTATTCTATTCTATTCTATTCTAGAGTTAAATTCCATACATTTGGGTTTTTTTTTAAAAAAAAATTTCCCCTTATAATAAGTTATGGAAAAAATGCTTTTAAACAAGTTTTTCAAATGAAGGAAATGCTGATGTCCACGGCTGGATGCTTCTTAGGCGCAGCTGTTTAGGGTCAAGGTGTCAAAGGCTTACCTGCTGTGCTTTTCTTTTCCAATGTTAATATGCTGGTTGGAATTGGCTAAAAAGACTGTCATTCCGTCCATCTTTCACAGCCGCCTAGCAAACGTAGAGTCTTTGCAAACCTCAGGAATCACATACAGGGTGTGTGTGTGTTTTGTATCAGGCTTTGTATATCAGTATGGTTGTTTTGCTGAAACGACTCGAATCAAAGTCTGCATTTGCAGCTCAAGGCTCGCGGTCTGTGTGTGTGTGTGGGGGGGTTTGAACTAAGCTCACCTCCTCCTCAACTGCTTTGCCAAGTTGTATCAAAATTGCCCCCAGCTGACCATCTAAGATTGGCTGTTTTTGAAGGTGTGGTACTCCAGCCCCAAAGCTTTCCCTAGCTCCCAGTACTGTTCCCGGAGGACACAAAGGCCAAGCTGCTTAAATCCCATGTTACTCTTTGACCAGAGCTGCATATTTGCATTTTGGCAGCCTTCCTTGTAGGGAGGAAAATGCTACTTGAGGCCACAGGTTGTTTTCCTAGCTCCGC